AGAAGGATACTTGTTCCAAAGTATTTGGGCTCCTGCGTAAGAATACCGGATCCGCTCAGGCCGCGGTTTTGTTTAAAGTGGAATATCTCACCACCACCTAGAGAAAGAGAAGTGACCGAAGACACGAGGCGCCCCTTCTCAGGCTCACCCCCTGCCTTGGCCACATTGTACCACCTATTGTCATCACACTTCACAGTCCCACATTTAATAGGGTATAGCCTCCTATGGGTGGATAAAAGAAACGAGAGCTGGTGAACAATATGGGACAATAAGCTCCATTGTGGAACACTGTATTGCTCTGCAATCTGAGTATTCCTTACCGCAGCTTACTCTGAAGCATCGGTTAGTTAAATAAGATTGGGAATAATGTTTTGAGGGGTAGGCAGGAAAGGTTTGTCTGGATGTCAGACCCTATAAACCTGAAACTGGTATGTCTGGATTTGTAAAAAATCTCAATTCCCTGTTGACCACAAAAATTGTCAAGATCTGTTAATAAAACGTAATGTAAATATACACTAGGTACATTTTTCATCATAGGGTGTTCTTGGATGTTGGAGGTTGCTAGGATTAGCATAAAAAAAATAATGCGGTGTAATCGGCATAGGAAAGTCAGTAAATGGTAAACAGGATGGGGCCTTGAATGACCCCTTGTGGAACGCCATCTTGTAATCTGACGATTCATTACCAGACCTCTCTCTGAAGCATCGGCCAGTTAAGTGGACTTCCAGGGTAAGTCAATAAAGGGTTGATAATAAAAAGCGTTTACATTTATTGAAGATGCTTGGATGACAATCCCTGACAAAATCACGGAACGATTTTTTGCGAATCCAGGATGAAAACTTTTCAAAGGAGTCTATCGATGATTTTCGACTCAGGAAGATGGCCTGGGTCTGTAAGAGAATTTGTAGTCGGGAGGTTATATTAGCTTATAATTAACTTGGTCTATTTTAATCTAAGGTAGAAAAGAAAAAAGGAATCTATTTCCAGACATATTAAGTCAGAGTCAGTGGGGCAGTTTAAATACACAATGTCTCTAAGTATTTTTTTATTTCCCAAGGCGAAATCATTCTGGTTCATAAATAATGTATTCAAGTTCATTCATCATCGATAAAATACAAAATAACATTGTAAAAAATAAAATAATTTATACAAGAAATAAATTTTTAGCCGTTTTTCTTCCTTATTCTTCTTTTAGAGTTCATCTTCATTGGCCCTGAATTATTATACATTAGGGGTATTATATATTATAATCTAAGGGGTTCTATTTATCATGTTTAATTTTTAAATTGTCAATAAATCATACGAATCGAGGTGAATCATAACGGTAAATAAAAATATGCTATCATTTACTCTTGCTATCATAATTTTATCTGTTGGGAGTATATTCTTTATTCATATTTGTTTTTTGTTTTTTATTGCTTCATTGTCATTACAACAGCCTCGACTATACTTGAACAATAATTAGGGATGTTCAATGAAGATAATAAATCGTAATTTTATATGTTGTTGACAGATTCATTCCTTTCTGAGTTCGTTTGGCTCGATTATGGAAACATTTCCTTGCCTTTGCGTCATTTTTATTATAAAACAAGACGAAAATTTGTCAAAAGTTAACTGTCAGAAATGAATAAATTTAGATCCTTTGCCAGAAACAAACAGACATCTTTGCCACATTTGCCGGCGGTTTGGTAAGGAATTTATTAACCTTTGTAGGTCGGTACTACAAGGGGACGAGGTGGCCGAGTGGTTAAGGCGTTGGACTGCTAATCCAATGTGCTCTGCACGCGTGGGTTCGAATCCCATCCTCGTCGGTATTAGTTTTATTCATTAAAATTAAGTTTAACGGGAATTTTTTAATCGTTTTTAAACAAAAAATAGCACTAGAAATATCATGCACTATTTTTTTGTCAGCGTTATTTCTAAAACTGCATGGATCGATTGGACATAAAAGGTTTTTTGTCTATTACAACATTTTTTTGTGATTGTAAACACTATTTAGGAAAATATTTTTTCCATATAGTCAATCGTTTTTATCCGACCTTCGTCGATATAAGTTTTATTCATTAAAGGCGAGTTTAACTTGATTTTTTTTTAAATTAAACTTATTTTAAACAAAAAATAGCTATTATCACACTAAAAATATCCTACAAGATTTTTTGTCAGCGTTATTTCTGAAAATGCATGGATCAATTGGACATAAAAGTTTTGTTTTTTTTCTATTACAATATTTTTTTGTGATTGTAAATACTTTATATAGGTAAATGTAGTTTTTTCCATATAGTCAATAGTCATTTTGTCACACCCTCGTCGGTATAAGTTTTATTCATTAAAGGCAAGTTTAACTTGATTTTTTTTTCAATCAAACTTATTTTAAACAAAAAATATCTATTATCTACTAGAAATATCCCACACGATTTTTTGTCCTCGTTATTTTAAAAAATGCAACGAACGTTTGGATGTAAAAGGTGTTTTGTATTACAGTAGTTGTTTTTTTTTTTGCGATTGTAAACACTTTATTTAAATAAATGTAGTTTCTTTGTCCCATCATCGTATAAGTTTTATTCATAAAAGCCAAGTTTAACATGAAGTTTTTTTAAAATCGTTATTTAAACTTATTGTAAATAAAAAATAACAATTATCTCAGTAGGAATATACTACAGGTTTTTTTGTCCTCGTTATTTTTAAAAATGCATGGCACGATTGGACGTAAAAGGTTTTTTATTACAATAGTTTTTTTTTTGTGATTGTAAAATCTTTATTTAAATAAATGCAGTTTTCCATGTAGTCAATAGTTTTTTTGTCCCACCTTCATTGGTATAAGTTTTATTCATTTATTATTATTTATTATTTTATTCATCTTATTTTAAGTTTAAGATAAATTTTTTTAAATCGTTATTTACACTTTATTTATGCTTATTTTATTTTATGCTTATTTAAAAATGTGGGGTGATTAGTGACCGTTAATCGATAATTGTTTAGAAATCGTGAGATGCGGTCTGGTGTGATGTAGGTTTCAGAAAAACATTTTCTTTATCGTGCCAACGTTTCGATCTTTATTGAGATCTCTTCAGGGCTCAAAGTGTTTGTCTTCTGTGTAATTGTGCCATTCTTGCGTATCGTGTTGAGAGTGGGCACAAAAATTTAACTGATTGATAATGACAAATTGTTCTATTACAATAGTTTTTTTTTTTTTAATAAATTGTTGCCATTTTATAAAAAACCTATCCATGTGGTTTTTTTTAATATTCTGCTTTATTTTTACATCAAATTTTTTGGACATTTCACTTATTTGCACCCCAATAAGCATCTTGAATTTTTTCAATTTTTTTTTTTTTTTTTAATAAAAATAATACAACATGCTGATGGGTGTAAATTCTTCAAACTTCCAAAAAGATCAATGTGAAAATATAGGAGAAAATTATTTACAAAATTCACATGGAAAAGATTTTTTTATGAAAAGGCCATAATTTATAAATAATAAAAAACAATAAACCTAAAAGAAATCTGTTACATAATAAAAATTATAATAGTTATTTTTAAATACTTTATTTAAGTTACTGTGGTTTGTTTCCATATAGTCAATAGTTTTTGCTAATAATTTTATGGGAAATCTAACTGATTGATAATTAAAAGTTTTTCTATTAAAACTTTAAACAAAAGTTTAAAAAACATACTTTTATTAAGTAATTGTAGTTTGTTTCCATATAGTATTTTTGTCAATAATTACCTGAGGGAATCTAACTGATTCTAATTCAAAGTTTTCTATTACAATAATTTTTTTACAAATACTTTTATTAAATAACTGTAGTTTTTCATAAAGTCAATCTTTTTTTAATAATTGCCCATGGAAAATCTAACTGATTGATAATTAAAAGTTCAGGCAGTAAAATTTGTAAGTATCAATAATTTGGCTTAAAATATAAACACCCATAGATGTAGAAGCAAAAAAATTAATAATTATTATTTAAATACATTTTAAATAATATTTTAGAAAACTTAAACTCTGGCAACTTTGTCCTGCTTCACTGATGGTAGAAAAAAATTACATGTGGTCTAAAGGATCAATCAATACAGAAATTAATAATTATTCAGAAATCGTGAGATGTGGTCTGGTGTGATGTAAGTTTCAGAAAAACATTTTCTTTATCGTGCCAATGTTTTCTGTTTTTCGGAAACCTACATCACACCAGACCGCATCTCATGATTTCTGAATAATTATCGATTAACGGTCACTAATCACCACACAGAAATTAATTCGTACAATTGTAGGGGAGCATGAAAAATCAATCAAGATAAACTTTTAACATTTTTTTTAAATTCAAATGTATTTGAACTTGTTTCTGTATATATCATTGAATTTAAACTAATAATTAAAAAAATAATACACAAAAAATGTTTGAGAATATAAACAAAATAATATAACATAATGGAAAATTATATTCTTTAGGGTGTTATTAGAAGGCAGGTAGTTAAAAGATAAAATTTCGTTTATGTATGTTGCAACATTTTGACATCAATGTGTAATCATGCATTAAAATTATTTATATTTTATATCAGCATTAATTTCTGCTCATCCCGGTCTAAATCTGGTTTTTATATATATTTCTTTTTTATTTATATTTTTATAGGTGGCATATGTGATCTTAAGATCTTAAACCAAAATACAAATTTATGTATATTGCCATCCCACGTCTTGACAATATCAGGCACAAGTATAATTTCTGCCCAATTTTTGACAATATTATATAATGTCGTTGTACAGCAAAAACAGAAAAAAAAAAATTCAGAATGATCCGCCAAGTATTTAAATTGTTAGCAAACAGTTCAACAAAAAAACTATTAAAGTTCGATAAACATCCGAGCGATGTTCTTCCTGTTGCTTCTTAAAATAGTACAAATTGCAATAGGGCTAAATATTCTCTTTTTATTTCGACATGTAGCATTAAATCTGTTATCTTATCTTGTTTTTATCGTTATGTTCAGTTTACACCTGTTAACGTCTCACAGGGTGTGTCTAGTGGGTCGCTATTTATCACCTTAGTGAATCTTGCAATACTGTTAAGTGATGTTCCGTGACTTTTATACGCTAATGCTACAAAATTATAATTTTTAAGTGACAACGTTGGCCAGTAAAAATGGTAAGGCATGGACTAAACTCTAAACTAAACTGTGGAAAATTTTTCTTAAAAAAGACAGAAAATATTTCAAAATATAAATAAATATATATATAAAGTTACAAATTAAAATTGCACTAATAAATAAACAATATTACTGCTTTTGTATATTTTCATATTTTAAATTACAAACAAAAATACATAATTTTATAATTATTTTTGGGTATAAAATATATTATTATATATTTTGAATCATAGTCAACAATAAGAATAATAAAAGAAATTTTTAAATTTGTTTAATTAATTATAAAGGATTTAACTTTTGAGAATCGCTAAGCTGAATTTGAATTACCTTTGTTTAAAATTTATTATGGTAATAAAGAAGGGATTAACTAGTGAAAATATGTCAAAATATAAATAATAAATATATAAAGTTACAAATTAAAATTGCATTAATAAATAAACAATATAGCTGCATATTATATGTCTATATTTTAAATTACAAACCGAAATATAAATAATATACTTATTGTTACTTATAAAATAAATTTTATTTATTATTATATATTTTGAAAACATAGTCACCAATAAGAACGATAAAAGAAATCTTAAAATTTGTTTGGCAATAAATAATATTTTATTAACATTTTTTATATTTTGAAAACATAGTCACCAATAAGAACGATAAAAGAAATCTTAAAATTTGTTTGGCAATAAATAATATTTTATTATTAACTTTTTTTTTAATCATAATTAATCCTAGAGGATTTGACTTATGAGGATCACTGTGCTGAATTTGAATTAGCTTTTTATCATTTATTATGGTAATAAGTAAAGGATTAAATATTATTGCACCAGGAATATTGTTTTTTAATCATAATTAATCTATTGAATTTGACATTTGAGAATCGTGGTGCTGAATTTGAATTATCTTTTTTTATTTATTATGGTAATAAGGATTAAATATTATTATTGCACCATGAATATTATTCCATTGAATATATTCTGACAGGTGATATTGTCCTTTAGATATACTTATCTTGGTACACTTTTGGGAAGTGGGGATTTGACAGATTAAATATAGATAATTTTCAATAATTGTTGATTTATTTTTAATGGCGTCTGTAATTTTAATCAATACCTCAAGGAAATAAATTTTGTAATGACTTTCAATCAAATGGTAAAAAATGCCTATTTTTTTAATTTATCTAGTTTTCTTATTTTATTCTTTTATTTAGGAAGTCAATTCAATGAAGTGGTATGCTACAGTGGTATTAGTGATATGCTTTACAAGCCAGGGTAATTTAATATTTTTGATTAAACTTACTTTTACATAAAATTATGCATTCCGAATTATGATGAAGTACTTTTTGTATTTTTTTAGAAAATATTTTACTGACAGAAGGCGTAGTGATTCCTGCCAACATACCTGATTATCTTTTAGAATGCTACAACAATTCATACATACTCACGAAGGACAACCTTCTCCCCATGACAGTAAATTCACTGATTTCCCTCATAAGAAAAATAGAAGATACAGTTTCAACGAGTATGGACATGAGAACTTTAGTACCTGCTATTTTGTCAAGGTACCTAAAATCTTTGTTGATGTTTACTATTTATTAATTGTTTAAAATAAATCTTAAAGGTTTCGATTTGATGGCATAGAAAGGAACCCGAATATTAATCCGCAACAGTATGTAATCCCGTATGGGCCGAACGGCCCGGAGTTTTTCCTTTTTAGAACACTATTTCAGCAAGTATTGCCTAACGTAGGAAGCTCATTTCCAAATGACACACTTTCTTATGTAGAACGTGTAAGTAGATAAAGTTTAACTTTTATTATATAAAAAAAAAATAATGAATATTTTTTTAGTGTACCCTTCATTGGATGCTAAGTAATTCAATCGACATTTGGGATCATGGAGATAATAGCGCTTCTTGTCCGACCAGCCATCAATTTTATAACGGCCAGAGGTACCCAAGGGATCTTTCTAAAATTGGAGAATCTGAAGTCTTTGACCTGAATGCCATAAAGTATATTTTCATTAGAAAAAATAAAGAAAGATAATTTATTTGATTTTATGCTACAGGCCGCAGGGGAGAATAATGACAGGATCAAAAGGCTATTACCAACAAAATAATTTCGGCCCCATTGAATCTGCTTGCCCAATAGAAAACGGGATAATCTACTCAGTGTATAATATTTTTTATGCAAATGATTTTATTTTGTTTTGAAAAATATAATAAATAAATATTTGCAGATATGGAGACATTTCACCAGGGACTGTTCTTGCTGGAATAAGTGCAGGGTTGAACCCACAAAGATCGCCTCCTAGAAATTTGTACAAAGCTCAACCCAGAGGACTTAGAAGAAAGCCAACTCAACCTCCAGATTATAGAGGAAGACCTAGAGGAGGATATAATCCTCCGTTTAACAACGGTGGTGATGGGTATGGTGGCTATCCAGGCTATGGTGGAGGTGGTAATAACCCAGGCATTGGATACCCTAGTGATCCTGGATATGGCTACGGTCCAAATGGTGTAGGCCCACAAGACATCGACAGCAAATATGCTGCTACTCTTGCAGGTGATTTTTTTTTTAAGATGATGACTTTTGTATTAACAAATTTTTTTCACTGTGGTTTATCTGATGGTTGGCAGGTCAATTGTCATACATAGCACTTTTACAAGGACCAGAATCCAATAAGCAAATTCCAATGGGTGGAAGTGGCAACTGGAACAGCACTCTCACACCGAAATATTACTTTCTCAACAATTATTACAAGTACATGGTTACAGATGCAAGAATAAGAGGAAGCTTAGACGGTACTAAAAACCATAAATTTTTTCATTTTCTTTTCTAATTTTAGAACAATTTAGGTATGATATTGGCTGATAACATACAGAACTGGGTTAGCCTCGGAAGAGGCAATCTCAAATTGTCACAAGTTCTCAGTATGTATTACTCGCAAAAGGGAGTATTTGGTACCGACATTAAAGCTTGTAACAGAAAAGGATATTTTGAAAAGTATACACATGATTTGGGAGAGCAAGTAAATTTTGTGTCTTAAAAAAAAAAAAAAAAAAAACTTAATTCAATTTATTTTACAAAGGCATTCTCAATGGCTGAAGTACTGAAAGATGATTTGCCGCCATCAGTGACGGTAAAGGACGAAGGGATCCATGAGTATACGGATGAATCGGTGCAGATTTTAAGGAGTTACATACGTAAGGGATTTTTTATTCATTAAATCAAGCTTCTATTAAATTTGTATTTTATTTTAGCAACACTTCCTGATTTACAATGTGTCAGGGATGATACGAACAGCAGTGTCCAGCCAACAGTCGATTTACATGTGGTTGTAGACTGTAGTTGGAATTTTCTAGATATTGTGAATCTTTTATTGTAAGTGTTTGCATTAATACTTTAAAATACAGAAATTCAGTTGTTGTTTTTTTTTTTTTTTTTTTTTTCCTAGGGCTATAGGTGAAAAATGCGATTTGCGAAAATATGGTGGGAATCTGACAGTAATTAATGCAAAAGATGGTACTGTTATGATCGAATCGGCACAAAGTATTATGGATCTAGGAACACAGTTTAATTCATCCATGTACACTACAAGTAAAATTTTTTCATAATAACAAACACATTCAGAACATGTAAAAATTGTAAATCCTGATTTACACATTATTTCAGAACCTATGGGCCTCGACTTAACAAAAGTGCTCAGTATGCTTAGGCACAGATTCAAAGATAAAGCGGATTATGACAAACAGCAAAATTCAGCTGGTGGGATTGCAAGGATCGTTGTGATAATTCCATCTATGACAGCTTCAGTTCCTGATAATGATGCGAATAATGCAAAATCTATACTACAGTATTTTAAAGAGAACATACCAGGTATGCAAGAAATTTTAATTTAAAAAAAACTTCATGTCATAAAGATTGAATGTTGTAGATGAAGTGTCAAACCACTTTAAAATACTTTTCTTAAATTAAAATTATTATCAATTATACTTTTATGAGCTATATGTGGAATTGTATTCAGAACTGCTAGTGTGGCAAATACAAGTCAAATCCTAAAAACACTTTGAAATTAGAATTATTAGATTAGATTAGAAATTGAGTTGGCCTTTTTATGATCTGCGCACTGTGATTTGCTGTGCATCCCCAGTGTTGTCTGGAGCTCGTCATTAAGCTTAAGGCTTTTTACCAGACCACAAAGCATTTTTTAGGACATCAGCATGTATCCTTCAGGCCCGAGCTTTTCCTCTCCCAGGTTTATGAATCCTATGTAACCCTTCACACCATCAGAGAACGTGTTACACTGCTCTTCTATTTCCTGGCAATTTCTGCACAGGCTTGTCTCTGCTGCTCAGAGTCTATATGTCTCTGCAGCCTGCAGTGTCCATTAGAAGTTCAAATATTATTCTAGTCCTAACACATGCTAAATTTAATAATTTTGTTGTTTGTTTCTGTGATGGTACTTTTCCACATGCCTCTGGAATGCAATTCTATCGAACCGAGGACTTATTCTTAATCTAGATAGATGGGTATGCCACAAAATGGTTCTGGGCTGATAGGTGTCCTCATCAAACTTTCCTTGTCCAATTTATCAATCTCTTCATTGCCCCTCTGCCCTGTGCAAGAAGTACCAAGACAAGGGCAATTTTGTTGTTTTCCACAATGTCTGACAAAACTCTTATGCAATCTCAAACCACTCTGAACCTTACTACCGATGCATTGCACTGTCTGCTTGGCTGTCTGAGTAGATGGCTATTCTTCTGTTAGCGATACCTAGCCTTTCAATCTCTTTGGCACAGTGTTTGATAGTCACAATATCTGCTTGAAAGACAGTGGCATATTGCCCAAGACTTATGTGAATTCTACCCCTTGATTTATTTCCATAAAACCAGCTCCTTACATAATTGGTTTTGGATCCATATTTTATAGTTAAATTTTTTTTTCAGATGTTACCTTCTTGTACCTTGTTCAGGGTTCCAAAGACAAATGGAATCCTTTTGCCATTGAACCACGCACAGATGTGATCCTCTACAACCTGAACAACCCTGTAGCCCCTTTGATCAACAGACTCATGACAGGTGGATCTCTTTTAACCATTTCATACTAAAAATTATTATTTTAATTTTATATATTTAATAGTTCCAAGAATAATAATCAACCCAACATGTGGCCGTTACTGGTCAGGATATTGGTACAATGAAGTAAGCTTGAAAGGATATCTTGACAACAGTGAAACGCACTTTTATAAAATAAGCACCAATTATTTCTTCAGAGAAGCAAATGCAAAAATAACAGTAAGCTTACAAAATTATTCTGTTAAAAACAAATCATTAATATTTATTTTGAAATTTAAGATATCAACTGATACAACAACGCCAACCCTGAATTTCTGCATGTCAAGAACAAACCCTATGCCTGTCGTAGACAATTCAAAGTCAGGAGATGTCACTTGTCAACAGATCACAACCGGTAATCGCTACAGTTTCACAATTCCGAAGGATGTTTGCACCAGCGTTTACTATGTGGCACAGTGCAACCCATATTACTTTTCAGTGTCTAACAACCAGCGCGGTTCACAAATATCGATAACTTGCAATGGTATGCATGATCTATTAAACTTTTTCTAAAAATTTATGTAATCGAATTTTATTTGGTTTTTAGATCCTGACTGTAGAGATCCGGATTTGGTCAAGTACACTATCAGTCATCAAGGGCTTTCTTGCTACAGCGGGGTTTCACAAATCCTCATGTCACCCGCAATTTTAATATTTGTCATTTTTATAAATTTGAATCGTTATTTTTAGTCTCCTCTCTCTGTTAAAACTGCAATATTCTTTTCCTTTTTATAGAATTTTATATTATTACTTTAATAGACAATTACAATTAGAACGTATGTAGCCTATTGTCATTAAAACTATAAAAACAAAACATTTTTAAAACCATTTTTTGATTATTATGTTAAACTGACATACACAATCATTTAAATACACACATAATAACTTATAAATTCCTATATTTTCTAAACATAATAATATTTAAATTTGTAAAATAATAATTAATTTAAAATATAATCATATTAATAATAATAATAATTGCATTAATGTTAGATGCTTTATATAATTTAATAATTGACCTTATACATTATAAGCACAATTGAAAATCTATAGGATTGTGTAAAAGTAATACAAGTTGTATTATTTATTGTACCTACTTTGTTTTTATAAATGTATTTTGTTTTTTAAATAAATGTTTTTATTTTGTACATGTCAGATATAGGTAAAATTGGCTAATGTCTTTCCTGATATTTATTACCCAATATAATGTGGTCTGCCTATCCTAAGTTGGGTTGATCTGTCAGACAAACAGAAGATAGCGATTCCAAAACCCTTCTGACAGACAAAATAATACAATAAAAAAAGAACATAAAAAGAATAATGTTTAGCGATGAACAGTGTAAGTGCTAATATTGTCACAACATGAAATGTTAATGATTCCTTCATGATTTAAAAAAAATTAATTGTGATAATTTAGTCAATTCATCATTCAATTTTAACCGACAACTTGTAATAAAAAATTATAAGTTTTTAATAAAACTTATAAATTTTTTGCAACTTTGATATTGTGCGATCTGAGAATATCAGTAAGTTAAAAATGTTTTTAGGCTGTAGATGATTCACACTTCGAGTATCTGGGTGGGTTCAAGGAGATGAGTAAACAAGTCAACATTCTATGTTGTAATCATCTTATCTTACCGATCTTAAACTATGAGCATAAGTTGCTAATATTTACTAGTAATTTCGAGACATGGGGAAAACTTGGTGACCTAGATTATCTGCTGGCAAAATAATCAAATATTAATAACATGCTCACTAACCTGACTGCCAGCAGAGAGAGTTTATTTACCATTTGTAAATCCCTCCTGGGAAAATAAAAAATTCAGTTAAAATCAAAGAATGGAAGATAAGGTACATATAAATAATAGTTGTCATATACATAAAATTTACCCTCTGGAGGCAACAATCCTCGCCTTAAAACAGCTTCGATGAACCACCTAACTACACACTGTTTTACACTCGCGGAACACCTTAACGCACTGTTTAAATAGCACTTTTTGAAAAAGTAGCAAAAAATACAAAACAGCACACCACCACCTAGAAAAGAAGACCACATAAATATATAATACCTGCAATAAAAGAAATACAGTTTACAGCGACAAATTGTTTGTCAGATTACAGGAAAAATTGTACTAAATGTAACAGTCACTTACAAAAAGGGAAGAATATGATTTATTGTACAAATGCTAAACAGAATCTCCATACAAATAATTTTAAGAAATCTTATGTAATTTTTGTTTTAACCATCAACGGCAATTTAGTTTTTTAACCAATAACCAATAAAATAATAAGCCCTTCTTTTGGAAATAAATGGGAAAAACCGAAAAAATGTTTATTGTCTTTTTGTATATAAAACGACCTGCTGGGTTGATAGGATGAAAGAATAAGCTTGAACTTTCTCAGTTTTGAAAATAATGGGAATAACGTAGAAAAAAAGGAAACCATTTTTATTTGTATTTTTCAATGTAAAACGACCTGCAGGGTTGGTTAAACGAAGAAGTATGGATTACTGTCATTGAAGCATGCAGTGGAACATCATCTAATAGTGTTGGTAATAACCCCCTCAAAAAATTGAGGAACTGGGAGCCTTTTAAATTATTTTCGTAGAAATAAGACTCAATTAATTTGTTTCCGAGAAGTCCACACCATAAGATACTGTGATAAGATACGAAATTCTCGGATTTTCCTCTACCCACCTTCGGAAAATTCCAATTTTTTTCTTCAGTCTCACAAATCGACATTTGTGCAAGGAACGTTAGAATCAAGAGTCCTGAAGTCCCTGTATGAGATACGATACGATCTGGCTTAAAATTGTAAGTCCGGCGTACATCTTACCCTTTTCTTACATCTAACTCTTCCAACATTTCGGAGAGAGGATGTGAGATTTTCGAGAACATACAGTAATCTGTAAAATATTCACCCCCTCATGGAAATTACGTTGCCGGTTTCTTTTAGCCATAATTTTGTCAATATTTGACCAATTGAAAATTAAATTGCACCATTGTTTCAGTGTAAAAATATCCTTTAAGATGATGTGTCAAGATGTCTAGGGTCATATTTGAAATTTTAAAGTTGAACTTTGCCTGAGGTACCCTGTGTAATCTTCTCCAAAAAGGTAAAATTTGAAACTAGACTAAAAAAAAATATTAAACACTTTTTTTAATATATATAGCACCCTGTATATATACTGCATCGGGTAATAAAATCCTGGAAAATTCCAGCATATCGAAGATCAGAATATATTGGTCAATTTAATTAAAATGAACAGAATAAGAATAAATTACAAATATCCCTATTCGTTTTTGAACAGTTTATTTCGAATAAATTTGCTTTATTTTATAAAAGAAATTAAAAATTTCTTTGACTGCATTGATTTTTGCACCAGCCCAATAAGAAAAACAAAACAATACTCGATTACAATTTTCGGTTTATATTATTTTTAAACATTTTCCAACTTTTTTAATTTCCTCTGCAGAAGGTTTTAATTATGTATAAGATTTTTTTTCTTTGATGGATAGTTTCTTTTTGCCATAAGTTTTTCATTATTTTGACCAATTTAAAATTAAATTGCACCATTGTTTTCAGTGTTAAAATTCCTTTAAAATGATGTGTCAACAACCAGCCCAATAAAATAAATAAATAAAAAACTTACAATATTAGGTTTATATTATTTTTAAACATTTTCCAATGTTTATTTTTTTTCTAATAAGCCGCAATACGTTTTAATTATGTGTAAGATTTTTGAATTTTTTTTTTTTTTGCTGGCCAGGCTTTCGCCAAGTCAACCTTGAAAAGGGATAGAGATTCTAAAAATGTCAATACTAACCCAATTTTTACTTCTATTACAATTTAATTGATTTATAAACTTTAAGACATGTAATTTGAATGATTCAATCTAGATATAATTAACTGATGACTAAAAGCTGATTCTTGATCTTCTAGCTAACTTAGATATACTAAATGGCGCTTGAGTTTGTTGCGAATAGAATTATAGAATAGCCTATTTGTTAAATTATATGACAAATTAATCCATATTTGCTTAGTAAGTCATAATTAATTAATTATTACAATTAATTATTATTTTTATTTAAGGTTTTTGGTTGAGGTGAAAAATTAGTCACAATAGCTCAAGTGGTTAGAGTAGAGGCGTATTGAACCGAAAGTGGTCGGTTCGCATCCCACTCGTGACACTAATTTTTCACCTCAACCAAAAACCTTAGATAAAAAGAATAATTAATTGGGATTATATTAAAACAATAAAGACGAACAAATTTCTATTTATAAATAAAAATAAAATACCTTTATTGAGGGGTTAAACGAAATGTTAACATCTTAACTGTTTGAGCCGACTGGAAGAGCCAGTAGCCGAAAAGCTTCTGATCCATAACCCAAAATAAATCAATATCCGAATTATATAATAACTGAAAACTGTTCAATTGACTATTTTCAATGTAATTCGTTTAAAACAAACAAAGACCGAGACTTTTTTAAACTTAATAAATGTCAAAAATTAAAAATACCTTTTTTGAGGACGGAAATGCGATGTTGAATCGATGGCCGCCAGGAGAGAAAGGGAGTGAATGGCGGGAATATTACTTCCCAGCCCCCCCACCGCCACATAATTAATCATACAATTCTCTCTAATTAATTTAAACATCGGTAAATGTCTAAAAATAATATAAACCGAATATTTTAAATAAGTTTTTTTTAAACTACGCCCGATTCTTTTAAAAATTAAATCATAATTTTGCACTTTTAGGACATACATTGTTAAGCTGGCAGTGATCTGAGAGGCCAACGATTCTCCGGTTAGAAGTTGAATAATTATTTCATTTTAAAAATAAATAATTAATTATTAAATATTCTTTAATTTTTTGTGCTATTATTTTTAGAAACGATTTTGATTAATGTAATATTTTTTATTTACATTGAAGGATCCTCGAGTCGCCGGCCGTTTCCCGCCATTCCCAAGGACGATTCAGGCTGCAACTGGCGGACGAGACTCGGCTTTTTCACGGTGAGCTCCTATTTCGAAATATTATCATTTTAAATTATATAAAAGCTGCTTTTTCGTTGAAATCGAAGAGAAATCTTTAATGAAATAATTTATCAATCGCCAGTTTTAAATATGTTGTTAAATATGATTTGTTGGATGTATTATTGCGACACAGCGAGTCGGTCCAACCTCTCGGATTGTCTGTTGGATTTGGTAAAATTTTCCTCCTGGATCAAATATATTTTCAAGAGGAAAAATACATTTTTATTAATAGCAATATAATTATTTCAATTAATTATACTTTTTGCCTGTCGTCTTGGTTGAGATGAAAAGGTAAGCGTAACAAGCTGAATTTGTGCCCAAGACCTTCGGCTCAATACGCCGCTGCCTAACCACTTGAGGTATCAGTCACTATAGTTCAAGTGGTTGGAACAGTGGCAAATTGAGCTGAAGGTCGACGGGTTCAAATCCTGCTTGCAACACTGAAAACTTGAATTAATTCTATTAATTATACTTTTTATCTAATATCTTGGTTGAGAGAATAAGTTAGCATTACATTGTCGAATAAATTCTTGATGATATTGAATGGTTGACCTCCTTTGGGTATGTGAAATTCAAGAAGCACCATAATTTAGTGTTTGGCGAAGGATATTTGACACTTTTTTTCTACTCACACCTGATCATTTAAGGTTGAATTACAAGATTTTAAAAAAATTAACACACATTGAATATCCATTTAAAAAGTAACTTAGAAAGTAGAGGAGGTTGTAGTATCAGTAAATAGTTAATTTTATTCCTCTGCGATTTGGGTTAATGATACCGAATTTGAAATGAAAAGTTCCTTGATGAACTAGGACTTACCAGTGTGTTTTAAACACAGAATGGGGGATACAATAAGTCTTAAAGGGTGCAGCAT